GATTTATTTCAAGTCCAATTAACCTTTCATTTTATTATTGTACTTGGAATATGTTGTTGTAGATGTTGTCACTCCTGAATGCTCCCTATCGGTTTTAAAGCTAGTTTGCATCTCTTATGTCCTTACTTCATCTAACTGCCTTTCTTCTTTGGATACTGAATTATCTTCCTGTTTCACTTAGCTGCAACTCTGATGCAGTATTACAGCAATTTTTTGCATCTCTGTTCACCTTCTTAATACAGTTTTCAACTTTATGATTTCACCTTATCAAACTCTAATTGGAGTTAAACAACGTAAAGAAAATTGGGAAATAGCAATTTGCTGTGTCATAGTGCTTTTATTTCTGACTATTTAAAGGTTCATTAGTAGGACAAGGTTGGCACAGGTTCCAAGAACTGAGAGGCAGTTCATAACTAATATATAAAACACATTCTATATGAGTCATCATTTATTGAGATGAGCCTCTGGGTAGGGTTGGGATGGCAGAAACCCTAGAATAATCTGAACAAGTTTGATGCTTATGGGTGGAACTGCACTTTTGAAATAAACATTTCACTTTGGATGAATGGTACAATGTTATTATAAAGAACTGTAAAACATGTTGAGCTTTTATTTGTTTTTAATCTTAAATTTATTTTGGGGTTCAGTCTATTCTTGCTTCTCTTGCTTGCTAAACACAATTTAGCGGGTTCTAGAACAAAATGTGTGTTATTTAAGGAGGGTGTTTTTCATCAGTTGTAGTATATGCCCATCTCTAGCTTGGTAACCTGCTCCATCTTGCAACCCTCTGAAAACCCCCCTGCTCCTCCAATTTTGGCCTCGTTCATCGCAGTTTTCATTGCTCCACCATTGGTGGCTATCTTGCAGCTGTCTACAAATTAACCTCTGGAATCCCGTTCCTAAATCTATCTGCCTTTTGCTACTTTAAGATGGTTCTTAAAACCTATTTCTTTGACACCACTTTTGGTCACACATCCTAACATCATCTTTATTTGGCTTGGTATTGTACTTTGCTTGATAACGTTCTTCTGAACTACTTGGAGTATTTTGCTCCTTTATAGGTATGATGTAAATACTAACTGCTATTATTGATGATAACCCATTCTGTGTCCAGTGTATCTTGATGGTTAAAATAGTTCAATTGTCACGCTGTTAGTAAAAAAAAAAAAAAAAAAATTATTCTTTCTGCTTACTCCTCTCCTCCTTGGATGTGCAATCCCTTAACATGTCCATCACCAAGAGGATGGTTACAGAGCTATCTGCTTCTTACTGGAAAGAAGGCTTGAACCTTCCCCATCCACCGTCACCCTCCTCCTAGCTGAACTTGTTTTCTCTTTGAACAATTTCTCCCTTAACTCCTCTTACTTTCTCAGACCAAAGGTGTGACCATCGTTATCTGCATGAACCCCAATTGTGCCAGTCTCTTTGTGGGCTGCATTCCTTGTTCTCATCCTACTTGGGTCCCTCCCTGTAACTCTTTTTTTCATACATCAATGACATCACTGCTTCTGCTTCCTTCTCTTGTTCAAAAGTGGAAAAAAAATCAACTTCGCTTCCAAAACCCCTCCATGCTCTCACCTTCACCTGACCTAACTCCGATTTCTCCCCCCGCCGCCTCGACATTTCTGTTTCCTTCTGGGGATTGACTGGCCACAAATATCCACTACAAACCCACTGATTCCCACATTTACCTGAACTATATATCCTCTCACCCTGATTCATGTAAAGATTCCATACCATTTTCCCAGTTTCTCCATTTCCATTGTACCTGTTTCGATGATTCCACCTATTGCAGGGTTGGGTGGCTTCAGAAATGTATACCTTTTTTCTGAACTGTGAATTGTTATCCACCCTGTTTTTTTTTATTATTCGTTCATGGGCTGAAAGCGTCGCTGGCTAGGCCAAGCATTCACTGCCCATTCCAAATTAGCTAGAGGGCAGTCAGTGTCAAACACATTGTAGTACTGGAGTCACATGCAAGAAAGATCAGGTAAGGATGCTAACTTTCTTCCCTAAAGGACATTAATGGACCAGATGGATTTTTCCAACAATTGACAATGAATTCATGGTCATCATTGGATTCTTTATTCCAGATTTTTATTGAAATCAAATTCTACCATCTTCCACGGTAGAATTGGAATCCGGGTCCCCAAACATTAACTGGGTCTCTGGATTAACACAACCGGGCCACTGTCTCGCCATTGACAGAATCCTTATTCACGTCCAACTCATTTCCTGCACTCCATCCCAAAACACAGATATGGTCCTCCTGGGACTCGGTTTGCACCTCAACTGTATCCACATCCATAGGATCATAAGCCACCATTTTTGCCAGCTTCAAGGGGATGCCACCACCAGACACATGCTCCCCTCCCCTTGTCAGTATTTTGCAGGGACTGGTCTCCCTCAACACTCAATATCTTCCCATGCCCCTGTGGCATCTGGCCATGCCATTGCAAAAGCTACAAGACTTTCCCATCTACCCTGTTCATCCTCACTATCCAAGGTTTCAGGCACACTTTCCAAGTGAAGCAGTGATTTACCTGCTCTTCACTCAATCCAGTCTATTATTCACTGCTCACAATGTGGTCTTCTCAACACCTACATTCTGTCCATAAAAATGTCTCGGAGCTTCAAGTTGTCTGCGATTCTAACACAACAGTGTTCCCCAACCGACATTGTCTGGGGCCAGCTGCAATGCACCAGCGAGGCTCAGTGCGAGCTGGAAGAACAACTTTCATTTTCCACTTTGACGCTGTGCAGTCTTCAGGACTTGGTACTGAGTTCAATAATTTTAGAACCTGAACACCACCTTCTGTGTCCTTTGCCCACCCCTATGCTGCATGTCCTGTTATGCCTTGGGCTACTTTCAGCCCTGCCAAACCATTTATTCCTCCTGATTTATTCCTGTAATCAGATGTTTTCTTCCCTGGCTTACTATTAACCATCTCTTTTGTCTACCTATTGTTGTTTATCTGTCTCTGGCTCCATCTCCACATTTCCGCTCACTTCTTTCTCCCCTAATTCCATTACCATGAATCCCATCTTTTCCTAGCTGTTATTGGTTCCAAAGAAAGGTCACTGGACTTGAAATGTTAACTCTGTTTTCTCTCTGCAGATTCTGTCAAATGTGCTGAGTTTCTCCAGCAGTTTCTGTTTTTGTCAATGTACCCCTTTAAATTTGATGTTGTATGTGACCAGTTCATTTCAATGCTAGAACCTTTTGAATGTTGTTGTAGAAGGGACAATACAGCATAGGCACGGGCCCTTTGGCCCTCCAAGCATGTGAAGATGTATTTTGCCGTTTCATACTAAAACTGTCTTCACTTACAGGATCTGTATCCCTCTATTCCCTTCCTGTTCATGTATTTGGGCAGGGGCTTCTTGAATGCTGCTATTGTGTCTGCTTCTGCCACTACCTCTGGCAACGCGTTCCAGGCACTTACCACCCTTTTGTGTGAAAAACCTGTCTCGCACATCTCTTTTAAACTTCCTCCCTTGCATCTTGAACCTGTGCCACCAAGTAATTGAACCCTCCGTCCTGAGAAGAAGCCTCATATTTTCCACTCTATCCATGTCATTCACAAACTAATAAACTTCTATAAGGTTGCCCCTCAACCTCCTGCATTCCAGTGAAAACAAACCCAGTCTATCCAACATGTCCTCATAGCTAAAATCCTCCTTACCAGGCAAAATGCTGGTAAATCTTTTTTTCTGTACCCTCTCCAAAACATCCACATGCTTCTGGTTATGTGGCTGTGTATGACTAATTTCTTTAATAGGACAATTTGAGAGTAATTGGCATGTTATCTTCCAGATTGCTGTTCAGATATGCATTTTAGAAGGAGCATTGAGGGTGACCATTTTGACCATGTGCAGTCGACCATCAGTTCATTGAAATTGCATGCTTGCCATGAAAGTTGATTTTGCTATTGAGTTAGTACACGCGTATGAAAACATGAATAATGGTTCAAATAACAAATAGATATATGCATTTAAATTCTTCGGAAAAGATTCTTACCAAATGTTTTTTTTCCATGTGAGACAGATGGTTTCTTTCCAGTATGCCTAGTTCAGTCCATCACCTCCTAACTCTCTTTGCATTTTTGGCCTCACTCTGCCTGAGCTGTTGGACTGGCACACTATGTGCTCACTCTATGCTAAATTGTGTCATTTGCCCCTATGCTGTGACTTCCTCCTGATAATTTATTGATTTGCACTTAGCTGGGTTCACCTCTTTTTACCTTTTGAGTGTTAAGTGATTTGGGATTTAGAGTTGATTTATCAGTTGGGAAGCAGCATTGCAAATGTGTTGAGTCAGTTTTGTAACGTTTATGTCAATCAGGAGAACAGAGTGCTGCGAATCTAGGAAGCCAAATAGCAAACAGAAAACATGGATATCTCAAGCTGGAAAGTTAGGGTGTGCATGCTGCGTGTTGGATATCTTAAGTACAGTCTATGACCATCCACAAGTCAGAATACAAGTCTGAATTGTAGAACAAGGTATGGAGTCTATTAATCATGATGATGTTAGGACGACAGTCAGAATTGGTACCATGAAATGGGGGAAAATAAATGCTATTGGTCCCTCTAGCTAACCAGTGACCTGTCCTGGAACATCTGTAAATGTGGAGCATAAATTAGATGGCCTTCTGTAAATGAATGTACTCTTCTTTTTCAATGTGAAGAGTCACATTTGAACACTGGGATGCTGTGGGTGCTTGTGGAGTCTGTGTCCTTGCAAGGATCATTTCCTGGAAAACTGGAGAGTGAGGCTGTGGGGATTTTTTGCTATTGGGGAAGGAAAGCTTTTTCAAAGCAACATCACAGTTAATTGCTGAAGGAATTGCTTGTGGATTAACTGGAAATTATTTGGCATATTGTTTCAATTTTGTTTTACTAAGTAGGAACACCAAAGTAAAAGTCATAATTGACTTATGAATTGTTACGTAACTCAGTTTCTGAATGCAATGAAAACTGACTTTGTTTTTGTCTTCCAGCAGACGTACGTTCTTTGTTTCTTCCAGGAAGTTATGAAGAAAAGATCACACATCTTGGAAAGTCCCTTAAGAATTTCACCCGTCTTAAAACGCTAGACCTATCTCGTAATTCTCTTGTTACATTAGAGGTCAGTTTCATACATGTTTTGTGTCAATTTCTAGCCTATTTTGCTTTGTAGTATTACTGTTAATATTTTATTCAGTTCAGTGATGCAGACATTGCATAAGAACCTTCTGCAATAGATACAAATGCATGTGATCAAAGGAATCCCTGTAGTAAAACATTTCTTACAGTATGGTATTTGTGAAAATTTGTTCATAGTACTTGTAAAAAAATTTTAAGACCATAAGAAAAAGGAGCAGAATTAGACCATTCAGCCCATCAAGTCTGCGCTGATCGTGGCTGATATGTTTCTCAACCCCATTCTCCTGCTTTCTCCCCTTAACCCTTGATCCCCTTACTAATCAGAACCTATCTATCTCTGTCTTAAATACATTTAATGGCTTGGCCATCACCTTATTTAATAACCTCCTTTGCATCACCTTGTGAAAGGTATTCTGGAAGTCCAAGTAGATCATGTCCACTGGCTCTCCTTTTTCTAATTTACACATTACCTCCTCGAAGACTTTTAACAGATTTGTCAAAAATCTTCTCCTCAGGTTACCTGCATTAGCTGCATATTCAATCAGGCGAATTTCTTATGTCTTCAGAGAGTTTCTGTAGTTGTAGCTGAGTGGTTAGGCAATAGATTGGCAATCAAGTTGGGCGTATTCTTGTGGAGGTTCAAATCCTACCAGCATTGGTCCACACTACCGTTCTAGCCTATGGAAGCTCTGCCACAGAAAGTAGTTGAGGCCAAAGCATTGAGCATTTTCAAGAAGGAGTTAGATATAGTTTTTGGGACTAAAAGATTCGAAACGGGTGGTGAGAAAATAGGAATAGGGTACTGAGCTGGACGGTCGGCCATGATCATATTGAATGGCAGAGCATGCTTGAAGGGCTGAATGCTCGCACAGTCACATGTTTCCACCAACAATCGATTCTTGATCTGCAGATTGATGGGCATCTCAGGCAAGACTTCCCTTTCTTCCCTTCTCTCCTGCTGCTCTGCCTCATCATTAACTTGTTTTGGCTCAAAACATGTTGCAGCTTGATGGGCAAGTTGTCACTGTTCTGTTCAATTGTTGGCAAATTCCGCCCAGTCATTAATATCAATGTTGCTGCATGTCAAGGAATGCTTCAAAGTATCATGGAAGTGTTTTCTTTGCCCTTTCCTGTAATGTCGACCATTTGAGAAGTCGGAGAACAGGATGGGTCAAAAGTACTTTTCAGCTGTACGGATATTGTGCCAGTCCTTTGTAATTGATTTTTGCAGGAGTTTTGCCAACATTTTAAGACTCTCTCTGAAAGTACTCCTGACTGAATGACTTTGTCTAAACTCTGTGCAGGTGCAACATTGCTGCTGTTGTACACTGCCTTTTCCACAGTGAAGTGTCCTTTGTGTAAACATTCAAGGTATGTTCATATGAGCCCACATAATTCTTTAAAATATAATACATGGATGACATCTCTCTTCATGAGTCCAGGTCTCTCAGCAATACAGAAGTATGGTGGTGATATCTACTTTGTCTATTAGGATTTCTGTTGACTTTCAGAGGTCTTTGTTAGAACATATGTTCAATTTCTATAGCTCCTTGACAGCTTTTGGAGTGGAAAGGCTGTTCAAGATGTAGGCTTGGAGGTGAAGAATCAATGAGGTTAGGTATCAAAGGGAAGCTAGCTGTTGTGACTTTATAATTGTGTTTCTTTTTAAAATTAGCTGGAAAGAAAATGGGGTTGGGTGCAGGATCAGCACAAAATAGTGTGGAATGTTGAAATACGTTTGCGGGCTATTTTAGTTCACAGGTAGTACGTTTCAATCCTCATAGTTTTCAAATGTTGTCATATTGTACACTTCCTCCTCTGCAAACACAGCAACCTACCGTTATTATTCCAGTAGTTCATTTTGTCCTTGCAGCTGCTATTTCCTCCTTCGCTTTTTAATTGAATAACAATCTTGATTATGCAGGTAACAAAAACAGGACAAAGAAATTCATATCTGAAGTTGAGCTGCATACACACACACTGTTAATATAATATGATCCCAATAGTTTGGGTATAATTGATTTGAATTCCATGTACCATCAATGGCAATTGTATACCATTGGGAGGGTTTCTGGGAACAAGGAGTGATAGTAGAACAGCAACATGCTTCAGTTCATCTTGTCTGAAATAGAAGCAACAACTCACATAGAGTGGACAAATATTTGTTGGGGGTAGGACATTGAAGGATGTGGATGTACAGCAACATGCAGCGGGAGTTGATGAGTGGAGACTGGAAGATCGGGAACTCAAACTGATGGATTTGCAACTAGTGACAAGTAATTACTGCATTTTCTTTGAGTGATAGCCTGGGCGCAACAGAAGCTGTCATTGCACAGATGTTTTGGAAGAAGACAAACAGAGATACAAGTTAGGGTCTGGACGTTCGCTAAGCTTGAAAGCAGTTGTTCTTTTTTAACCTGACGTTTTTTCAAATCTTAGAAATCATTTGTGGTGGTCCGCTAAAACCTTCTCACAAATGCCTAAGAGCTGGAAATCTCCTATTTAGTAATTCCTGTTATGTTTCGTTATGACAATCACCATATCCATATTTGTTTTGATCAAGCAACAGTTGCTCAATTGGTAGTTGTGGTGTGAATGTGTCGCAAGGTAACATTTCTACCCAAAAATATGCTTGCTTTTCATAACATTTTCAAAGAAAAAAATTTGCAAAACATTTTGAATTGAATATAATAGGGTGACAAAATTCAATTTTTCTCCATGTTATGTATACATTGCAAACTGCAAACTAATATTCTTGATATTTACAGTACACATTCCATTTTGGGCACACAGCCAAAAAAAAACTTGAATTGAAAATTACAGTATGTGCAATGAAATTAAACTTTTCTCCATGCAGCATTGAGGCACTTCATTGTGAGGATAAAGAAAATTTAAAGTGCAATGTCAATTCTGTGTCGAGCATTACAGCTAGTGTCATTAGTGTCATTAGTGTCATTACAGCTAGCTACAGCATTACAAGTGTCCAGCTCCTTAATGCACAGTGAATGAAAGACCCTAGATAGTGACCCAAGATCAAGTTTTATCTATTTAAACTGGAAGAGGGTTTGTCTTTTTTCAGTGTGACATATTTATTTCCTGCAACAGTACTTTTACCTGTTTGTGAATAAAACTGCTTTGGTCCTAGTGTCAGAGATTTGCTATAAAGTTTCACAGCTGTAAGAGCCCCATGATGTTGTGAATCGTGTTTCTTAAATCATCAGAGGAAATCTCTCCACAAGACCATAAGACATAGGAGCAGAAGTGACCCACTGATCTGTTTTGCCTTTCAATGATGTCATGATTGAACTGATAATCTTAAACCCCACTTCCTGCCTTTTCCTTGTAACCATTGATTCCCTTACTGATTTAAAAACTGTTGATCTCAGTCTTGATTACATTCAGTGGCCCAGCCTTGACAGCCCTCTGTGGTAAAGAATTCCGCAGATTTACTACCCTCTGGGAGAAGAATTCCCTCCTCTGTCTTAAATTTGAAATTCTGACACTCTGCTGTCTGGTCCTAAACTCTCCCACAATGGGAAATTACCTTTCTCTAACTACCCTGTCAAGTCCCCTAAGAATCTTTTATGTTTCAATAAGGTTGCCTCTCATTCATTCTACTACATTCCAATGAGCACAGGACCAAACTACTCAACCTCTACTCAAGACAGTTTCTCCATACCTGGTGTCAATCTAGTGAACCTTCTCTGAACTCTTTCCAATTTCAGTAATCTTTACTTAAATAAGTGACCCAAAACTGTTCACTGTATTCCAGCTGAGGTCTGACTGGCACCTTGTATAATTTAAGCAAAACCTCCCTATTTTTATGCTCCATTCTCTTTTACTCCAGGGATAACGGCCAACATTCCATTTGCCTTCCCTGTTATCTTTGATTTATGGATGAGGACTCCCAGACCCTTCTGTTCTGTAGTCTTTCCCCATTTAGATAATGCTCAGCTCTGTTATTCCTCCGGCCAAACAGCATAACCTCACACTTTCTGATGTTGATATTCCATCTGCCAATTTTTTGCCTACTCGCTTAACCTGTATGTATCATTCTGCAGACTCTCTGTCATTCTCACCTCTTGCCTTCCCACCTATTTTTGTGTTATTTGAAAACTTAGCTGTAGTATATTCACTTTGCTTATCCAAATCATTAATACGTATTGTAAATAATTACGGTCCCAGCACTGATCCCGTGTGCCTCTATTAGTTATAGGTTGCCATCGTGAAAATACCCCCCTTTATCTTAAGTCTCTGCCTTCTGTTAGCTAGCCAATCCTTGATCTATGCTATTATACTACCTCCCACGACATGGGCTCTTAGCTTATCAAGGAGCCTAATGTGTGATACCTTAGCAAAAGCTTTCTAAAAATCCAAATTTATTGCATCCACAGCTTGTCCTTCTATCTATCATACTTCTCTGTGCTTCTGTGAAGTCCAGTAACATTGTCAGGAATGTATTCTTCTCATGTTGACTCTGCTTGATCATACAGTTTGTTTCTAAGTGCTGTGCTATTACATCCTTTATGACGCTAACATTTTCCCAATAACAGACATTAGCGTAACTGGCCTATAGTTATCTGTTTTTTTCACCTTCCCTTTTTACCTAAAGGTTTTATATTGGCAATTTTGCAATCAGCTGAAACATTTCCTGAATCTTCTAGTGCATCAATCATCTCTGTATCTGCTACCTTTTAATATTCTAGCACGTATCCTATCACGTCCCGGATGTATTGGTCTTTCGACCCATTAATATCTCTTAGTTTTTCTCCAGTCAGTTATTGTTCTTATTTCCTCTCCTTTTTTGCCCCTTGATTGTTTAGTAATTTTGAAATGCTATCTGTGCCTCCTACTGTGAAGACTGATTGAAGTATTTATTCAACTACACTGGCATTTTCTGGTTCCCCATTGTAATTTCCCCAGCCTCCTTCTCTAAGGAGCCTTTGTTCACTTTGGCTTGTCTCTTCCTTTTTATATATTTAA